TCAACATTAACTGAATCAGATATGATTCAATTAGCATTAGATGTTGCTGATGGAATGGATTATTTATCAGATCAAAAATTTGTACATAGAGATTTAGCTGCAAGAAATTGTCTTGTAAATGTAAATAAGACTTGTAAAGTTGGAGGTAAGATTAAAGTTATATCACTATAATTATATACACAGATAGAGTCGCTCGAATGGATTGGCATTCTATTACTGTTTCTTAATGCTTAATCTAAGATTCGAAACTATTATTTAACTCATTTGATTTGATGCGTTTGAACTAGCAAAATATTCTTTCATTCAGACTTTGGATTAACCCGTGACATATATGAAACAGATTATTATCGACGAGGTGGTCGAAGTTTTCTTCCGATCCGATGGATGGCACCGGAAAGTCTAAGAGATGGACGTTTTGATACATTATCTGATGTTTGGTAAAATTTTCCTTATTTTAATGTTTTTTGTATTTTATTTTAATGAAATTATTTTCAGGTCATTCGGTGTTCTTCTATGGGAAATAGCAACATTAGCTGAACAACCTTATCAAGGTTATGGCAATGAAGAAGTTGTTCATTATGTTCGATATGGAAATATAACACTCGAACGTCCACCAAACTGCCCAGAAATATTGTAAGAAAGAGAGAGAGAAAAGACACACGATTTTTTATTTTTATTTAGACATAAACTAATGCGTGCCTGTTGGACATTTTCGCCCGGTGATCGAATATCTTTTCGATCAATAGTTGATGAATTAGTTCCATATGAAAATGAAGATTTTCGTTTGAATGCATATTATCATACTCAACCGCATTCACAACAAGAAACAGTACTTACGGATAGTAATAGTGATGAAAAGGACTTATTATTAGTTGATGATAATGCCAGTGAACAGCAGTAAAAATGAATCTGTAGTTATTGTTTTATTTTTATTTTTATTTTTTATTCGATGTGCATATAGATGTATATAAATATTTTTATGTTATTGTTTTTGTTTTTACTTGTATTGTAGTTTCTGTAGTGATATGAAATTAAAAATTTTCATAATATTGTCTGTATAAATGCGAAAGTACGGTGTCTAAACTTTTAGATGATATCGAATTTAGAATAGAGTAATGGTTAATTATTCTCTTAATAGTGAACAGCAACGTGATGAAGTACCAAATACATATGGATTTTTTGTTTCACCTAATGAACTTGAGTAAAGAAGAAAAACTATTTATTCGGTGTAATTTTTATGCATTATTTTTTTTCCTTTTTAATAGAACAGAAGAATCAGTAAAAGCATCAGTAGCTCGCCGTCGTGAACAAAAATGGCTCGATATGTTCGCGCGATGGTCTTCATTTATTGAATCACGTTTTGATAAAGTCAAAGAACGCTGTCGAAAAGGGATACCACCGTCTGTACGTGGCCAAGGTTGGTATCATTTATCCGCTGCAAAATATCGACATGAAAATGCAGATAGAAATTGTCCAACGGGAAATGTATTTAATATGTATTTAACACAAACACCATCATCAAATGTTCTTGAAGATATAAAAAAAGATCTTGCCAGATCGTTTCCTGATCATGAAATGTTTAGAGATAATGGTTGTGGGTAAGACACTTTTGCACTTTCTGAATAATATTTAATTCAATCTATCTATTATTATGATTTTTAGACAAGAAAGTTTATTTGATGTTCTTAAAGCTTATGCCGTTCATGATCCAGATGTTGGTTATTGTCAAGCACAAGCACCGATAGCTGCAATTCTATTAATGCATTTACCACCTGAACAAGCATTTTGGGTATTTGTTCAAATCAATGAAGAATATGTGAAGGGATATTTTAGTGATGGACTTATGGCTGTTAAAGAAGATGCATTAGCAACAGAAATATTGATAAAAAAAGCATCACCCAAAGGTTATCGTTTACTAGTAAGTATTTATGTATTCATAGCTATTAAGCGATATATTTATTTTCTATCTATGGATAAGAAGTGTGCAGTCTTTATTCAAGTATCTATGAGTAGAAAAAAAATGCAATCCCATCGTCTGATCGATTGAAATAATGATTAAAATAATTAGATTTGTACACAATTTAATTGTGAAAAAATTGTAAATAGAGTGCAATAACCTGATATCACAGTTGTTCAGTAAGCTCAGTAAACAGTGTATAACGAGGTATTTCTTGATACTATTCATCAGAGAAATTCTCTATTTTATATTTTTCCCTTTTTTGGAAGAAACGAAAAGTTTTTGTATATTGATTTTAAACGAGTTCAGTGAAAAGGACCCACACCCGTAAACATCAACTTGATGGGTGTTCTCTATCTGGTAAACTTCTTTATCTCAAAATTCTATAAGTTTCACCTGAAAACGGCTAAAGAATGACAGTTCTATGCTAGTTTCCGCCTCTAGAACTCTACTATGACTGTAGCTAGTTGTAGTATTGTATAGAAGTGTAACTCATAGTGTTCAGGTCGTCAATACTGAAAAATCATAGTTCTTCAGGATTTGGATCGAGAAAAAATCTCTATTATATCCTTAGATCTGGTCATAAAATTATAGAAACTAATATTTTTAAAATTAAATCGATACATTTGACAGAAAACAATTTTGTTGCCGAACTAAGAAGTGGTCTATTTAGGATCTCTTCGTTACAACTAAATAATTATTTCTCATGTGTACATTTTACTTATACGCAGTTGTTATTGACGTTGACTTGACTAAATAGATTATTTCTTGAAAATTAGAATATAGCATTGATATCATTTCTATTTTCTAGCGTAAACTTGAAGTTGATCCAATATTATATACACTTGACTGGTATATGACATTATTTTCTCGAACCTATCGAGCCCCACAATTATTTCGTATATGGGATATGTTTTTTTGTGAAGGTGTTAAAGTATTATTTCGATTGGCTCTTGTTATAGTACGTGAGACACTTGAAGTCGGTCCACCAGATACTGTAACTAAAGCACATAAATGTGATAATGCCATGGATCTTATTGCACTTATAAAACAAACAGCAAAAAATTTACTATTCGATGTACTCTTAATTAAGATGGATAAACTTCCATTAACAGATATTGATTTAGCACAAGCATGTGCGCAAGCAAGGCAACAACTTAACCCAGATTTACATACAACGAATAGTCGAAAAAAATCGTCTCGATATCAAGCTACCAAACAAAATGTTATCTATTAAAATCTAATGTTTCTTCTTTTTGTTGGCTGCCTTCTTTATGTATATATACATATCGTTTAAATATTCACGTTTTGTTTTTGCTTTGGAATTTTTTTTTATTCATATCAGTTTTTGTAGACGATCAAAGATCGTTCAATGAGGTATTCGCTTAAAGTAAAAAATTCAAATATATTGTTTTATCATCAGATACTTAAACGATTCTGTTTCTTTTTTGTTATTAATTTGTTAATGAGTTCAATACAAGGAAAATAAATGATTCTCAATTTATATGTGTATGATGTCAAAAAAAAGTGTTGAAAATCAAAGATTATACTGATGCCATAAATATGGAACACAAACTACTGAATTCTAATGTTTGCATCTAAAGTTATTAATAAAAATCGAAGATAGCAGAAATGCTCTTTTTTTATGTATTTTTAATACGCTACTATACATTCTTATATCAAATAAAGATATTCGAATGAAGTGCAATAGTTCACTTCTTCCAGCGACTTAAACAGCAATATCGAAATGAGGATTTAAAAACAGAATTAATAATTAACAACTTATTTTATATGATCATATACTTTCTCCACTGAAACTGCTGCTTCATAGGTGTCGACTAGAATTATTGCAGTATTCAATATGTCAGTATTTCTGCAAATTTCATTTTTAAAAAATATTCCCAGCTATTTTTTTATGAATTGCTTTCCATACTCTTTGATAGGTTTTCCTGATGACAATGCAGAGAATCATAAAGATAAATTCACTTACGCTAGTGAAAACATATAATCAGTACTATATTATGCTCAATCGCTAAAAATCAATCAAGTTTCTTCCAAAATCTGATTCTGTGAAGAAATGATTAGTTTCGATGCCTCTATTATCTCGAATATACCCTCTAGTAGAAACGCTAGCAATGCTGTATAGAAATTAGAAAAACGGATACAAGCGAAGTTGCTGTCTTATTCAAACGTGAATAAAATTTAGGTCATCGAATAGCGATCCCACTAGACAAGAGTACCAAGGTGATTATTTCAGTTGTCATGTATGATTCGAGTCAGTTCGATTAAGACACAGCAACAACACATAACCTACGTGTACAAAGTCTTGGTACAAAAATATTTTTAGTCTTTTATTTCAACATATAACTTCTATTTCCTTTTCCCTATGACAAACAAAAGTACATGTGCTAAAGTTTCAACAATCAAAAAGAACAAGTTAGCGCAACGTTAGCGTCGTCAACCCTCTACTGAAAGGATTTAGTCATGTGGAACTTAGCTTTCCAAAACTATCTAGCTGAGAGACTTCACATTTCATAGCTTCGAAATGATTTTCATGGAAAACACGATTGATAACCGAGCATAAATAGAAAACTTGCTTGGCAGTATCACCAAGAAAACGGCATTTAATTACTACTTACTAATACTTTATGGTGATAATGAATTTAAGTGCATCCAATCTGCTACAGCTCAAGCTATGCTCCCAAAAACTTTCGATCAGCTTGATAACGGAGTGAAGCAAAAGATCTATTCAGGAGAGCTATAATTGAAATACTCCATTTTAGTAAAGTTACAACTCAAATTGGTCTATGAACTAGATACTTAACATGAATCTGCACGAGTAAATCATAGATCAAATCAAACTGACTTTTTCTTACTCGATTTCGGTTAGCTTTATCCTCATTTTTGTTCAAATCCATCTGGGTTCATTTTTCTTCGGCGCGTTTTCCGTCTAGAATGCATATATTCATTCCCAAGTACACGTTCACAGATAGATAAATCTAAGATTTACATCTTTTGAATCAAATCCACTCGCAATCAGGAAAAACTAAACTTATTAAGATACTTACGACATATATAAATTTCAAATCTTTCACACGACTTGAGCAATTATTTCACGACCTGTCTTCGGAAGAACTTGAAGATATTTACCATTTTCGAAAATTTTTTCAACTTTTCTGATGGAGACAACGTGTAACTATTCAATAATTTTGCAAAGTCTGTAGTCGTATAATCACAACAGATTTTTAACTGAGCGGCTAGTCGTTCGTCGGCGCCGCTCGCGGTTAGCCGCCTCCACTAGTTTCGTTGTATATATGCGATGAACGTGATCCTTTTAAACACTACATGATTGATTGAAAGCTTCGCTTCATTATATAATTATTAGATGAAAACAAAGAGAATTTTCAAGAAACCCGAAAACAACTGTTATGAGACTAGTTTAATTCAGTTTCATCTACATACGAAAAAAACAACTAACAATTTTAAGAAGAATAAGACAAGATTCCTGAGTACTTGCACAGTTTGCGAACGTTCGTAGATGCGCGAATCTAGAATTCTACGTGTTAAGTTTGAATAGATGCTTCGTGCTACAATAACAGTTGACATATCAAGTATAAACTGAAGACTTCGAAAAAAGTCTTCAACGACTTAGTGTTTATACACAAAATATAGACATGCAGTTATGTTCAACTATTTGTTGAAAAGGACCTTAGTGCAGCATTCTCCAAAACCATGTTTGCTTAAATAATAAAATTTTCGTACGCAATGAAACAAGGACATATCCAGATGAGCAGCTAGCCGCTCGTCGGCGCCCCTCTGGGGTGCCAATCACGAATAGCCGTTGCCAAATTAATAATCAACGTCACCGCAAAATGCCTATAGCCGATGCGTAATAAAATCCAATATAAGCATACGATATATACGTATATACCACTATCAACATC